TCAAAGCGTTGGCGTTCGGTGCCATTCTACTTTATGATTCCCGGCGTCCCTTGCGATCGGCAAATAGAACGCATGTAACTAGTGAACACATATTGACTGGCCACTAGGAAAATAGCAAACGTCTATTTTCCCGAGGGATTTTGAGTCGCCCCTCCAAAAAAAAATGTGGACGACTCAAAATCCTGCGGGGGGATGGACGTATACTATTGCCCGAATTTATTTATTTATTTATTTATTTATTTATTTATTTATTTATTTATTTATTTATTTATTTATTTATTTATTTATTTATTTATTTATTTATTTATTTATTTATTTATTTATTTATTTATTTGTTGCTTTGTTACATCAGGGGCTCACTAATAAGTAATTAGGAGCTTCAATAAAATTATTGGAAAGTGCACAGACTATATAAAAAAAGAAACAGACAATTTAAAATTTAAAGGAAGTACAAACATGAAACTTCTGAAACTTAAAGAAATTACAAACAATGAAACTTTTAAACTTAAAGTGAATACATTAAATAAATCTAATCTACATAATCTTTTCTATAATGCCTGGCATTCATAAGAATTTTTTTTCACAACTCTATCAATTACTTCACATAACTCATAACTGTAATGCTGAGTGCTATCCTCTAAAAGGAAACATAATAAAGCTTTACCCTTCGTAATATCTTCGTAAAGATTTGCTTCACGATTTTTACATGGATATGACTAATATTTTTCATCATATTATCCCTATGTTCTTTGTAGCTTTCGCACTCTAAAACAAAGTTTCATCACCTTTCTTGCAGCATGGACAAGTACAATCACTATTGACATTTGCACACTTTCTTTTCTCATACGCAAGACCTAGAGTATATGACCTTGCTTTGAATTTAAGCTGGGCACCTTTATAATTTTCAACTGATTTTAAATATTGTTCACAATGCTTGATTCCAGTTTTTAATTTCATGTAGTGGATAAGACTTGATTTGTTTGCCATGTTTTTTCTCCACTTATCTTCATCAAATTTTTCCAGAGCTTTTTTTAATTTTTTTACAGACTAAAGTGTACTACTTTATGTTCATCTAAATCTACAGTTTTTATGATATCATGATTACATTTTGGCCAGTTCCAGGACATTCTGAAAGTTGTGTTGTTTTTGTTATTTTCATCATTTTGATCATTCAAAACATTAAAAACAACTCTCAGCCATCTGGAATCTGACATATCACACAATCTTTGGTAATATTTTGGTTTCACGATATCTAATCTACATCTCATTCTGAACAACCCCAAATCACCAAGGACAGCCTCATTTGCAGTATTTCAGCACGCACAAAGAATGAATTTTCCTGTCATACGCTGCATTTTTTCTTAACTCTCCATATTTGTCCCACTACGTATCAGGAGTTCCCCAGCATACTCGAAAGTAGGCCTTAAGTTAGAAGCCTAGTTATAATTTTTGACAAAATTGGTCATAAATCGCATGACAATGTTCATTAGTTTATTATGTACAATCATGAAGCTAATGTCTCATGATACAATGAAATAGCATTATTTTGTGTGTTACAGTTATGCTTTTTAAGAAACGTGTCCTAATATTTCTTGAAAATTGCTATTTTTAGAACAATTACATAGAACACAATGTTAAAAAAATTGCATTTTTTGACACTTTTTAAAACCCAGATTTTTTGAATAATTCAGAACAACAAAAAGTACTCCATAACTAACATTATATGATTTTTTCCAGGCTAGATTTTGAGATATTGCATAATATCTCTGCCATAGGAACCTGTGGTAAAAGTGTTATAATAATAGTGTCAAAATGACGACTTTCCACTGAAATACAACCATCAATTTCTCGAAAAAAAAAGGCTGGTGACCCCCAACGTTTTTTCAGGCCAATATCCTTATATTGCCTTGGAGTACAATTTATTGCAAAATGAATAAATTCTGGGTTTTTTAATTTATGAGTAGGCTTCTACTTAATACATGGTTCCATAGTGACAAGCATAGTCTACTCTATTAATATTGCCATGGCCACAAAGTCAATTTTAAATCTTTCTATTAGTTTTGTACAGTGGGTGTGATCGGAAAGATAATTACGTGTAAACCAGTAGTCTAAATATTTGTACTCAGTTGTTTCTTTTATTTTTTATTTTCCAATAGACCATTCTCTATGTCAACTCCTTTGTTTGTGATTAGGACATTAGACTTATCTTCATTAACGACCATTTTCCATAAATTACCAAATTTGTAATTCTTAGCATTGCCACTAGTTGACTTTCATTAGGTGCAATATGTACTATATCTACAGCAAAAAAATAGGCCATTAATTAGTACTTCATTTAAGTTAACCCCAAATAAAGATTCATCAAGCATTAATTGAATTCATTAATGTAAAGTGAAAATAATAATAGAGCCAGAACACATCCCTGTTTTAAACCCTCGTTCTGTGTAAAGTAGTCAGTGTCGATATCACCATCATATCTTACTTTCTATGTTGTATTATGTCTGTTTTATATATACCATTCTGCCATAAAGCATTCCATAAGCCGCCAGAAGGTTCCATATGCTTTTTTGAAATCCAAAAATGCCAAGTAAGTATTTTTATTGTTGTATTTGCGTGTTGCAGCTATTCCCTTATGACTAAGTGCGCCTGTCCTTTCAAAAGCCACCCTGAATTTTACCCAGTGTTTTATTTTTTTCTATCAAGGTATTCAATTCTTTTTCAAGTATTCTATTATATAATTTCCCTGCAACTGAACTTAATGATATACCCCTGTAGTTATTAAGATTTTTCTTATCACCTTTTTTATGCAATGGTATTATAATACCTTTCCCCAATCAGCTGGTACTAGACAATAAAGTCGGTCAATATGTGTTTTGGAGCACATCTCATTCAGTTTTCAATATTCATCTACAATCATTCCTGTTGTAGAAAGTGAACGTTCAAAATAGCAGTATTAAATTAAATTAAATTAAATTAAATTAAATTAAATTAAATTAAATTAAATTAAATTAAATTAGTGTAGACGGTACGTAGAAACACGCAGCGTTCGTTTCGTCTAACGCGGCGCTCGACGCCTCTACGGGAATGCAAACTTGGATGCAGTAGTTTCACAATGCAGTTAAAGTCAGTGATTACATGTAAAACAGATAATTTGATAATGTTCTTTACGTTAGCCTACAAGTGACAGCACACATGTTTAGTTCATTGTAGCAAATCTCTTTCACCTCAAGGCTAAACCCAATCATTTCACGGCGAAAATCCACAATTTAACAGCGAGATTCTATTATTTACAGCAAAAGCATTTCAAAAAGTTGATCATTTTATGTCAAAACTCAGGCATAATTTGTCACGAACCAAGCTCCGTTTACTCGCGGCGGAAATTGGCAATGTATCCTAAAATTAACCTTTCACGAACCAGAACCGCCGTTTCATAGTGATTGGCGCATATATTCACGTGACATAGCAACTGCGACCACCCACTTATTTAATTGCTGATTGGATAATGTCACAGTACTATTTCTGGATTGGTAGATTTGAATTCTAGCATCCATTTTGATCTAAATTAAATAATTTCCCATTATATATGTTTACAATTGAACATTTTAAAATCTGTAGTAAATGCGGTTTTCATTTATACAGTATTATACAGTATATAACATTTTGGTCGGTAATTACTTATTTTCTTTTTATTTTTGCTTTGTTTTTGTGAACCACGTTGTAAATCCGCAACTGAATGGTGGATACATCCTAGGTCCCTATTGGATGTTGGTTAGACTTGCCCGACCATGGTAATTTTATTGTTTGATAAAATTCCTTTTTTCTTTAAAAAAAGAAATTGTCATGTAAACATAAAATTTGCCACGACTGGGTCGTAATTAAAGTGTAGATCTATATCAGGAGCAAAGGAGAGCCACCGCTGAACACGACGCCCTCAGCGTCAATACATTCAAACATCCTGAAGTGGACTTTGGACCACGAAATGTTTGCTTCCATTCAACTAATACCAGTTGAATCAGTACAGCCACCACCATTATAATCGATGTTCTATGATTATTTTGTTCAGTTATGAGATTGGACAGAATTTTCCTAAGGCTAGTAGTCTTCTCGATGGTGTCTTTTACCTTGTTGATTGTATATGTGATTTTTAAAAGACAATTTATTGCCTCGAAATCCCTTGATTCAAGCCTGCTACGAGAAATTGCTGATTCCATGCAACCTTGTGCGGGCTGCGGTGTTCCTCGTGTGGCTGAGAAGGGATATGCTGATCTCAAGAAGCAAGGTGATAGAGAAGATGATTCCCCGGGAAGTCACGGAGTTCAAGATACCGGTGTTGAAAAGAAAGTGTTATCTGTACATCCCAGTACAGAGGTACCGTCCAGTAATTTCACAACGACAAATCACACGGACAATCTTGACTGCATTTTGGACAAATTATCGAAACCATGGCGACGGAATGCTACAAATGTCAACCAAATTCGTGAAATTATAGATCGTATGACAAATACGAGAGATATGCTTATTTTGACTAAGAGTAACTGTAAACTAGACGAACGGATGCAGTTTTCTGTACAGAGTAATGTCGATTACCCGATCACAGAGGAAATCTACAACGCCATCCCCAAATATTCACCATTTTCCGGCAAATCATTTGGTGTGTGTACAGTGATGGGGAGTAGTGGTATTTTAACAAACAGCAACTGTGGCATCGACATCGACAAATCTGACTTCGTCTTTCGGTGTAATATGCCACCGATGACTGAAGAGTACGTTAAGGATGTGGGAAGCAAAACTAACTTGACAACGGCAAATAACGTCGCTGTCCTCGGCGGACGATATCGCAGTCTGGCACGAAAGTACGATCAGAACCGATTTGCTGAAGACGCGAAAGCATTTAATGGATTTCTGTGGGTTCCTTTATTTTCTGTGCAAAGTGGGCTCAGATTCACCTTACAAGCTTACAGGGTCTACAAGAGGGCGCCAAACGACAGAAACAAACTTGTCTTCGCGCACCCCGCTCATCTGGTGTCGGTGCAGAATTTCTGGAACGAACTTGGCTTGCTAAACAGAATGAGTACTGGCGCGTATCTGACTGCAGCAGCGCTCTCACTATGTCAGGAAGTCCACCTCTATGGTTTTTGGCCGTTTGACCGAGGGGTGGGTGGTCGCCCTTTAGGTTTACATTATTACGACGATCGTCCAATAGATACTGCTGCCCATGACGTCAACAAAGAATTTCTCACTTTAGTAAAACTACACGAAGAAGGCGTTATTCGTTTACACACAGAATCGTGCACTGTCGCCGTGTAGTCCTCCGGGGGAGTCGTCACCTGCGCATGTGTCAGATGGCCATAGCGTGTCCAGGTAGCGTGTCATTGTTTACAAACAAGCGTCTGCTGCCCATGAGCCCTTGCTTTTTTAGCCTGTGTTGTTATCGTCGCTTGGGGCTCAATTCCCGCGCGTGCGCAGGTGACGACCCTCTCGCTTTAAACTTACATTTTTTTCTAATTTGTGTTACCACGGTTACTTTTTTAGTAATCGTGGCTTTATCTACAAAATACGTTTCACCATTTTACAACGACCACGCTAGATTACACAATCACGCTAAAATGGTGACTCCTAACTACATTTAAAACATGTTGACCAATAAGGTATTTTTTATTTATGGGACAAATTACTTATGCTTTATCTATTTTATCTTACATTTTGTAAAATAAGCATATTTTTACATTTACTTGGAACCAAGCGTTTGAAGCGGAGGGGTCGTCACTTGCACCGGCACGTACTATAAGCGATGATAACAACGCATGCTAAAACGCAAAAACTCATGGGCAGGCGCCTGTAAATAGCGATACGACGACTCCCTGCGTTAACACTTGTGAAACACATTTAACGCTAGATTTTGAAGAATATCGCCCTCTACAACCACTGCAAAGCAAAAAAACAAAAAAACAACAACAAAACCAAAACCAAAAACGAAAACAGAAAGCAGTTCTCTCTTTTTTTGTACTTAATACTATTTTAATAGCGCGACGCAACTGTATGATACATATCTGCAATAAAGTACAGTTACGGTTCTCACAATGAAATTTACTTTATTTGGCTTTAAGTTCTTTTTTTTTCTAGTGAAATTCTACGATTCTGGGCTAAATATTGTTTAGATATTTTAATATGCCATTAAATCAGTTTTTGGCTCCGCTGTCGACTTTGTCGAGCGGAGCTTATCATATGAGTCGTCGTCGTCCGGCGTCCGTCGTCCGTGTCAACTTTTTACCTAAACTTTTTCTTGAAAACTACAAGTCCAATTGGTCCAATTGTTTTGATGTTATACGGATACTACATGTGGACCTCTCTCAGATTTGTTCATTCTGTGATGATATCTTCAATTCTCTAATATTTTTGTAATTTTTAATATAAAGTAATATTTTTGACTTATTGTTGAAAATCGCAAGGCCGACTGCTTCAATATTATACATATAGGTACCTCAGGTAGACCTGTCTCAGATTTATTCATTTTCTAATGATATATTCAGTTTTTAATTGAAATGTGCATTGCTAACAGCGGAGCTATCTCAGCCGATAAGTTGTTTTTTGTTTTTTTAATCGTGACGCGTAGATAATAATTAAGTATTAATAGTCAATTATCTCATTGTATAATGGAAAATGTTTTTGATCTAGGAAGAATAAAAAAAAATCTAAAACGCAGGTATTGACATTCCTTGTATTACAATATATGTAGATATAGTACCACTTCGTGGGATAAATTGATTAGCAAGTTTCCATTTATTTGGTATTGCGCCCGAATCTGAGCCAATGCCTTCACGAGGTGTTCAATAGAATGTATGAATAACAAAATGTAAACAACTCAACTTACGTCACAGCCTTGAATCATAATACATTTTAACGAATTTTTCTTTTTAAAAGATCGATGTCGAAATTCTTATCTTTCAGAAAGGATTATGGCATCGAGGTATCTTTACTTTAATAAAATTGCCAAACATCAAATGTGTATAGCACAAGCGTGGAAATACTCTCAAAATAGTTTCGTGTTTCTCGAATCCCAGACGGTGTTTTGAGGCCACTACAATGCTATGACCCGTTCTTTCCTATTTTTACGTTCAATTCACACTTAACGGGGGATCCCACGGAAAATGATTTATTGTGAAATCAATTTCAATTAGAAAACATAATTTGGACATTTAGTAAACGACATGTGTGCATGTACGGAGGTAGAAGTTTAGGTCAACTGGATGCACATTTACAATGACGTCAATAGTCATATAAATATATAGTCGTGAGGGCGTCACCAAGTGCGCTCATCAGAACCTTTACAAAAATACCTTTACTTTACCGATGGGGGCGTGTCGCATACGACTTATTTACCACTTCCGTGTCACTAAGAATGTTCTAGAACCATACTGTGTCTGGGTGGAATATTCAAGATTTTTTTAGAAACTGGTTGAATAGGTAATAGAACACTGTAGGAAGCAATAGAAGGTAGTGGAACATTCTAGAAATTTGAAGTAAGTTCCAGACTCATTATGTATGCTGATGTAATGGTCTATTTATAGACAGTGGGGGTATATATAGGGGAGTTGTTCAGCACTGAGATCAGATCGGAGATCTCGTTGAATTGTATTGGAGTTTAAGTATCTAGTTATTGGAGTAGTGGAGTTTTACCGCGTTATTGTACTTGATGTTTGCAGAGTATAATAATACCAGTACCAGTTGAAACCTCATCTGTTGGCTCCGTGTTCGTATTTTATCATCGCCGCCAGGGAAATCTTTCTGTTATTGTTGCCATTTTGGTATTTGAACCATCACACCTGTACTATACCAATCACGGTAATATTACGTTGCGTGTGACAGGGCGCTATTATACATCTTTTCACTGACTGCACGTAATTTTGGCGTATATTACAATGGTAATATTTCGTGTCAAAATATGTCTGTAAATTAATCGTTGTAGTATTATTCAACAGAAGGTGTGAAAAAAATGTTAGATAAGTAAAAACTAAGAAAATGGCATTACTTTTCGGTAGCATTGTACCGAACTAAGGTAGAACCTACACAAAAGTAAAAATATTGTCATTTTCTTTATTTTTACATATTTATTTTTACATACTGCTGGCTCTGTAATAATGAAACGATTAATTATAGACCAGATTTTGAGACATACATATTTGGCCTGCTTTTATTCTTATGCGCTAAAATACGCGCACGATGTAAAAAGTCACGAGTAGGTAATTTTCCGTTCAACTGCGAGATATCATGTATTGCGCGAAAGACGCGGACCAATCTCGCATTCTTCTTTCCAAGATAGCTCAAAGTGCAAAGGCCGATCTTTGACAGGGGAATATTGCGTTTTGATACCCTTACTTTATCGAAATGTACTATCATCAAATGTGTACAGCACATTATTAAGCGTGGAAATATCCCGTAAAATACTGACGCCACTACGATGCTATGACCTTTGTTTGTCCCAAGGGAGGATTGGCACGAGA